GTTGGTCTGGCCCGACCACTGCTCCATTGCTCCATCCTCGGGGGGAAGCAGAGGAAGAGTGTGTAGAGACGGAGGCGGATGGGGAGGGTCAACTTGGGAGGCCTTGAGCGCGGCTGGGCTGGTGGGGTTAGCTCGGTCCAGCCCGAGTGGGTCCGGGTGTGTATGCATTTGTGAAGGGGCTGGGGCCGGGTCCGAGAGGGAAGTGCATGGCCGAGTAGGGGCCGGGCCGGGCAAGCCCTGTGCCGCTCTGCTCGGCGCTGTTGGTCTTTCCCGCGCCATATTGCCGTCTCGCTCGCTTTGCTCTCTCCGCACTGTGTGTGCGCACTTCTTGTGAACCGCGCGCCGCGAAAAATAAAAAGTTCTGTGCGTCCACTACTACCAGTACTACCCGGACACGCGCAGCGGCGTTATATGTCTTCATTCCGAGTCCGTTTGCGCTGCGCGGGGCGGCCCGGGCTGGCCCTCCCTGCTGCCGCGCTGGGCTGCGTCGCCCGGCCCGCCCGGCCCTCCATCAAGATGGCCAGACGCGATAAAGCGCGGCTGAAAAATAATTTCCAGTTCCATTACGGGGCGGGGCGGGGCTGGGCTGGGGGGCATGCTGAGGACGGCTGGGACTGCTGGGCCGGCCCCTCGACACGGACCCCCTCATTACGCGCACACTCTGCGGCGCTAACTGATGGGGCGGCCCGGGGCCCGGGCGGCCTGAGGTGCCACATCCACCTGGGGGCGGCGCGGGGCCCGGCCGGCCGGCGCTGTTCCCTTTATCGCGATGGCAAGGCCCCCCGAGTGGTATGGGGGCGGCGGGGGCGGCGGCGGCCATCTGCCTGCTCCCCAGCACGACGGGGGTGGCGCGGGGAGCGAAGGGCGCGCAAGGCGCGCCGCCCCGAGAGAAAACTCCGAATTGCCACTTTGGGCCTTTAGTGCCTGTCTTACACTGGGAGTAACCCACACCTGACGCGCGCGCGCGCCTTGTATATACAGCAGCGCGCCTCACTCAGGAGGAGGACAAGGGCCCGGGGCCCGCGCTCCACCAGGTGTTCAATGCATCCGTTTTGGCGCCCCATCCCGGCCGGCGCCTCCCTCGAGGAGGAGAGACTGACGCGGGACTAACGAGGGTAAGTCACACCGCGCACGCCATAATGCGGGGCTCGCGTGCGCGGCGCGGCGCCGCCGTGGCGTGCGCCCGGAGATAAGAGGGAGGGGCCGGCCGGGCCAGAGGGTGCGAGGAACAGAATGTAGCACTTTCTGACGAATCTGAA